CATCATTTTTCGACAACTGTTCGGGAAGTGCTCACTTCCAGGACGCTTTTTCTTTGAGAAAGTAGCATTTTCCGGCCTAGTCCGAGAAGTACGTACTTTCCGGAGCGAAATATAAGCTGACAGCGATTTGACAAGAAATTAGTTGACATTTTGATTTTCGATAGGTTGGTTGCAATAAACTATCGAAAGCAGCTGCGATAGTGATCGAGCTTGAAAATGTCCATACGAAATTTCCAATGTAACAAACAGTTAGTAGGTATAGGTTTTCTGTTCAAATTTCAGTATTTCATACAAATGAGAATTAATAGAGAAGAAATTGTATTCTACAAAGAAATATAATATGGAAATGTGTCTCATTGATTTGATATTCTACCAAAGATGCAAGATAATTTATTCAAATTTGTTACTCGTAGCACAGCGCTTACGACTGTGCATACTCGGCAGGTTAACATGGAAATTTGTCCATAAAAATATCTCTGGTCCAGTTTAAAACTATCGACATTATGAGAAAATACGATACAGACATATTGAAATGTGTTTCCCAAAAGTAGGTTGATATTTCGTAACTTATTTGATCACCTCTTTCAACATGTCTATTTCACAAGGTTCAGCTATATATACCCATATAGATTCTTCTCATTGAAGCTTTATAGAAAATACAGTTTACATTTTTCAATACGTGAAATCGACCAATTCTTTTATTTTTCTACAACCTGTATTATCAGAAGAAATTGAGCGATACACTCACAGTTTTCAACATAAAATTTTGAGTTTCATCAATTTCAAACAAAGCAATGCCAATTTGTGATAATAAGCGTGGTGTAAAACTGAGGACCAATACACTATGCGTCTATTTCTGCGATAGGGTCTAGTATCAGAACATATTTTTTTATGAATAATAATTTTTCACACTCAGATACCTACATCGAGACTTCATCTCGCTATATCGAAAGACAATTGATGAAAGCTTCATTACTAAGTATGAACAGGGATGGACGCAAGATATAGAAAATGTGAGTTTCGGACGAAAACTCATTGAAAGATGTTCAAACAGTTTCTCGTTTGATACAAAATATTCATAAACTTCTTGTTTGATTTTTCGTGTGATACATTCAGCTGGAGAAGTTTCCAAGAATTCAACTTGCTAAATTTCCAATTTGTAACCCCTTTCTTGTTATCGAATCTTTTATTCAGAATCCGTGCGATGCCATGAACATGCTGTTGGTCATTAACTGTGGAATATTTGATGAAAGAATGTACAGGGCTAATTTTATTATTGTGAACCCCCTTCATTTTTTTTGTTTTCCACTCAATCGAAAAAATGTTGAGCTTCATACAATTTCATTTCATACAATCTTTTCCTTCCATATTGATCTTTGATCATTCTAATAAATGTTGTCGAGATGACTTTGGGTTTTCCTCTATGATCAAAATTTATAGTATATTTCACAATATGTTTTCTACGGTTCCTTTGGTAAACATGTATTATCATATTTCGTTTTATTTTTTCGTTAGTTACCTAATGTAAGTTGAATCTACAACGATTACTTCGAAGCAGCTCTTGTTTGTTTTTGAGTTTTTCGAAATTAATCAAAATAGAATGGAATTAGCATTGACTCGTGTGCTGCTTATAATATGATCTGATCCTTTTCAATGTTTTCTTTCATCTGATGACTGAATACTATTCAATACTCTAAAGCATTATCAAACATTTGCTCCAATTGAAACCTGAATAAGAATAATTAAATTTGCGGAATGTCGTGATTTTAATTACGTTGCCTACGTTCATGTTTTCCATTCATTGTCCAGATTTGCACACACTGAAATTACTGGTTCACCAGCAGTAATTTCAAAACAGTAATTCTGATTTATTGTTACAGGTATGTACCAGATAGCACCCAGCCATACTAGTCTGAGTAAGTATTCATATGACTAGAATTTCTTGCTTTTTAATTTATTTCACATATTGTCATGTCCTTATAGATAATAACAGTTTGTTATCCATGCACGATCGCTTTGAGAGTGATACCTATAGATAGTTTGGATTGTGAGATACCAAAATTGGGGCACTCGCTTACATAATCAATAATGTGAGTGACTTTCCATATGGCAACTTTCATTTTTCAACGAGCATTTGCTTTTTTCACCGTCATCATTATAAAATACAGGATGAGATTGATTCAGCATGATATATTGACGTAATACAGGGTGATTCTCAACCTATAGATACGCATCAACTTGAGAAATAAATGAGGTATCATTGAGTAACTTTAACCTAATGACGAACCGAAATATTCATTAACTTCAGTGATTCTGTATGATGGCTATACCTACTGATGAGCCGTGCATCATTGATGATAAATCCATTCGGTGATTAACTGTGTCTCTGATACCTAGTTAATTTCCTACTGCAAATTTCAGAATGATTGTATCTTCAAAAGTACGGGAGATGGTTGCTTTCATTAGAAGGGCTTTGAAGCTCGATCCAAGTAGTACTCATATAATAGACAATATCGGTGCAATATTACGAAAATATCGGCATTTCATTAGAAGTGAGACCATCATGACACACCCATCAGGAAGGGCTGTGAAGCTCGACCCAAGTAGTACTCATATAATGGACAATATCGGTGCAATATTACGAAAATATCGGCAAACTATTGTGAACGTGATATTGACGAGACAAAAAGTGTGATCATTTAACGATATTGGCACAATATTAGTTTCAAAGTGTGGGTGGAACATTGAACATCAGCATGCTGCAATGTCGTCTGAAAAACGAAATATTTTCATATCAATATTGGTTGAATATCCGTGGGGTTATAGGTGTAATCAATATTGGCGAGGAACTTGGAGGTGAACATTCAACAATATTGGTGCAATATCAGTTGGAAATAATATTGGTGGATCATTGAAAATTATTATAATGCTATTTTATCGAAAATATTGGTGAAATATTTTCATACCAATATTGGCGAGGCATATAATGTGAACATTCGGCGATATTGGCGTCGGTCTGGGGATGCCACCTTGTTGATCACGGTTAACCCCTACGCCAAGTAAGTTTGCTTTTCAATCGTCTCGAGCAAATATTTATATTTTCTCATCTCACCGGAACTAGGAGTACGTTACCAATCATTTATAGCGCCATCTATCGACATAGGTTCGAGAGTGATATTAAATAAATATCGAAAGGACGATATAGATAGGTATCTCCAAAACAATAATATGTTACCGATATGCACTTGAACTTGGAAATACATTATTGTTTTTATCTTCAATGACCGATATAGATATTCGTCTGGGAAACAATATGCAATCGATATATTCCGCATAATATACTTGAAACGGTATGAATCAATATAGGTAAATATGATGTATCAAATATTGTTGAACCAATATTCAACCAATGTGCCGTCGAACTCGAATTTACAATATGGCATCATGCTTGTGAATCGACATGGGGAGATTGTTCAATTTACAATTTTGGTTATAACTGTTAGAAACAATATGCTTAAGTACGTTGTTGTTGTACCTACATATTATTATGTGGAACAATATTATATACCTAATATTCATATTTATAAAGGGTCGCTGATATGTATGGAAACGGTTGATTATCTCTTAAAGTAGGATAACTAACGAAAAATGTCATGATACAAAAGTTCTTGGTTTTTTCAAAATCTATCACACTAATCAAAAATTAAGTATACAGGAACAGTCAAAAAGTAAGGAGGAAACAAAGTTGATATTTCTCTAACATGACACCCTGTATACTATTCCATATTTCGATTCTGCTCAAAATTCTCAACAGAATTGATATCGAATTTTGAAAATAAATTTCTAATGAATTGTCCAAAAATGTTTTAATCCATTAAGTTCATAGTCCATCAAGTTACCTTTGAAAGTTTCCAGCTCCATAACAACGCCGCGTCGTTCTTTTGTCTTACAGTGATGATCTTGAGAACACATGTCAAAAATACATTAAGTGAAAATTATTCTCGCGCAAAAATGGCACGTTTAAGTAAAACTGAGCATATTGCAATTTTAATGATCACAGGAAACGGTGATAGAAGACGAAGTTGTGACCAAGTAGTGGATATTTTTAATGACTTCTCATTTCTAAATCAACCTTTTCAAGAACATTTTGCAGCGTTTTCATGAAACTGGAGGTGTCGAAGATCGACCAAAAAGTGGAAGACCATCAGTAAGCGTTACAAATGAAGGAAATTCTTTGAATGCCATTAGATGTGGTGGAGGATCCGAGAAATTCGGCACAACAGAGGGCTTTGCATCATAACATGAGTCGATATTCCATTCAAAAAATTTGCAAACAGTCCTATCTCAAAGTTAAACTGTCAATCCCTGAGGAATCTCCTGATAAGGAGAAATAAAGTGAATATCACACATAGGGTTTGTATACTGTGCGTCCATTGAATTCGGTCATCTTGTAAAAATATAAGAGCAATCGGAATTTAACGAGCGCACTCTTTACAAACCCTATGTGTAATGTAATTTTTCATTCAGCTTTCCAAATAGATGCGAAAAATTGTCGCGGGCATCACTACTCAAGCGTGGATAACCCTGTATATTTAATTTTTCTGTAGATATGTGGTGAATTATTCATGAAAAGAAGTCTCTAAAATTCCAACGGAATTCCTTCGAATAGTTGAGATAGAAAAGTTTGAAAAATAATTCGTGGAAAAACTCATCTTTCTCCAAGCGGCATAGAAAGTGGTTTCTTTATGGCACTCAACAGGGAGGTGTACTTTCTCTGCCTAGGCAGGAAAAGTTTGTTGCCGTGCAACGTTCCAAGAAATTTGAATGAAAAAATTAGACAAACTTGGTTGTGTAACATTTGGAGAAAAAAATTATATGTTCCAACCAACTACTTTGATGCCTAGTAAAACAAATAACTATTCTTATAATATTTATTACTTTTGCACGGAAACGTATCATATGGAAGAAAGTTGTAGGGAATTTATCATCTTCCATTTGGTATCAGAAAGTGGGACATTTTTTGTTTGACGTGTTCCACGTCAGGATTTTTAGTGTGTTCACTCCAAGGGCACCCTGACCATATTATATCTAATGGAAGCAGTTATATTCCTGGGCCTTTAGATTGAATAATTGTTATTTCCAAAATGAAATTTATTTTTCTACATACAAGAACAGTATGGGTACAAAGTACAGACACTCCAAAGTTATTATTTTAAGGAAAGCCATTGATTGGTTCATCACTCTACCATTCAGATTCCATACTCACTTAAAGAATCGTCGCCTGTCATTTGAATAAACGTTATTTCGTAGAAGCTGCCAATATCATTTACCTATCTGAAGATTTCTATAGATTATTGCATCAATACAAACCGCAATTCCTTCAACCACAGACAATATTATGCTAGTCAGTAAGGAACCTCGAGAATGCTCAACATTGCTATAACATTGTATATAGGTAGTTGCTAAGTAGCATCATGAACACCTATGAGTCCTAGCACTCACCACTGGTTTGAAAGTACTTCTTCTATCACAAGAGTGAAACAGCAAGATGCAAAATGAATAATAATATTAAGTACAAACATGATTATCAAAGAAATCACTATATAATAACAAGTTTATCCTTCGAAAATCCCCATGAGAAGCTAAAGATGAAGTTGGGACATAAGTGTCTGAAATACGCCTAAAAATACTCTCACTCTGACATCTCTTATCATTTAGTTAAGTCACATTTACATAATTTAAAAAATAAATAGCCTGGTACGGTGATCATTTCTTCTACCCTTGTCGCTCTTTCAAATGCAGAGCTAGCTTGTACCCTAGTTCTGGCCTCCTGTCGTTACCATCCACCATGTTTTTCACTCGATCAGAGTTCACTACGACCCCATGGTTCTTTTTCACAGTATTCTTAGTTTTTTCTATGTCCAGTAGATCGACTCCTCGACAGCAATCATCCAATAGGATGGTACGAAACCCACTCGATATGGCATCTATAGCAGTAGCCCCTGAAAAAATATATTTTGATGTTGATGGATGAGTAAGAAATTTTGTGAAGTAATCCTGATTCCTAAAAAATATCAAGGGACATTCTAACAGAGGTATACATCATAGACATTGACTAGCCAAAAATATTTTTACACAACTTATTATGATCTCATTATTCAGATTATAAACTAATCGGAATTTTTGATGAAGATAGGAGCTATGTTCTTACCAACACAAACATCGTAAGCTATTCCACATACGTAAACATCGGTGATGTTCCTCATCCTCAATTGGGAAGCTAATTTTGTGTCTGTCAATTTCGAATTATCCCAAAAGGCCGAATAAGAATCCACTTCTGGGTTGGTACCTTTGTAAATTTTTATCGCACTATCTATCACCTGAAATAAGTAATCTCTTATTATAAATATATATATACAGAGCGTGTATCTAGATAACTCCGAAACAATTCCAGGAGTGATTTCTTGTGATATTCTAACAAATAAAGTTCATATAAACATGTGTCCTAACTTGCCCTGGTTTTGAAATACAGGATGTTGAAGTTGGAAGTGTCAATTGTTTTTATTTATGATCCCCCTGTATAAACTTTATTCCATATAATATCACAAGGAATCGCCCCTTGATTTTTTTCGGTGTCCTTCAGATATATATGATATGTAAATATTTCAAATTTGGGAACTTTAGAGAAGTCGATTTTCATCGCAGGTTGTTTGATTTTTTGAAATAGCACATCAAAACATGAAGTACATAACATAATCATGGAGGAGACGTATATTATAAGAGTATTGGAAATATTAGACTAGCTTTTTGTATATCCCACTCATCAAAATCGACTTCAGTATATATGTCCAGTGATCAGAAAGGGCAAACAGTGGATTTGGATGGCACGAAATCGAGAAAAGTCATTTGGGAAAGTTGTTCAAAAATAAATTCTAAAACCATGTATTTATTGAGTATTAATTTTTTTTCTAGTATTTTCCGATCTCCTCATAGGTATGAATTTTTTGTCTTTTGAATAGCTCGACTGTAAGTAGTGAAATGGAGAATATGAAGAAATATTCTAATTTATTTACTAGCAGCTTCAACATTGATTAGTGAAGGTCTCCACAGTATGTTTCAAATACTTGGAAGAAGTAGGTATCAACTGGAACTAACCATGAACCATTCAGCTTAGCAAAGCCAGAATGCTATCCTATCTTGCCATCTAATCACTTTATACAGTTCTTTCAATTTTTCAATACCAGTGATCCTGTGACACCTGTCAAGATCGATTTTGTTGACAGGCATGCACGATCGATGACCTAGAATAATTTTTCTTCCCTGTATACAGAAGTTACGTACTCCACAAAAGAGGATGATGTATACATATACTGTAACATTAAATGTTGATGAAATCAATATGGAACAATTGAAATCGTCTTGTAAATGGGTGTCCAAATCAAAATGTTACACTTATTATCACGTAACGTTTCAATTGAGGTTTCAATAACATTCTAATGGTTCATAGATATCGCATGGCCAAATAATTCTGGGACTGTATATAATATTCCGGATCAACTATCCCAAACAAACTGCAATTATACTTCATTCAAATTACTTTCAACTTCTCCATCCATGATACGACTTCATCCATAAGTCATCGAAAACTTTCCAGTACCAGAGAAGGGATTGATGTCATTAGCCATGAGGCCGATCCTTCTAGGTCAACAATCCTCAAACTTGAATTAGTTCGAAGTTTAGCGTGAACTCAAATAATAGACGGCTAAATCTACTTTGCGAGTTTGATCAAGAGTTGTCGTGAACTTTCACGGCTTCAATAATTTCTCAGTTTTCATTCCTTCCGTGTAGCACAACGATATCGACATTCATCTGACAGCTAGCTGTACGCTGTAATCGGAAAATAACTGTAATCATGAAAACAAAGGAATTTATAACAAATAGTGTCAAGATACGCACTCAGGATGATAATTTGAGGTTTTGAAGATTATTTCAACTAGAGTCACTAGATGGTATTAGTTAGATGAGAGTGCGGACACAGAGATGACTATCAGTAATTTTGAATGTTTAGATCAAAATTTATTGAGTTACATATCTTGCATTGTGACAACTGCATCATAGTCGTTCCGCGCTTTTTCATTCAAAATTGTTTTAATTCGACAATACATTTTATAAAGGTCGGAATTGAAATATAATTTCATAAACTATCGAGGAAAAAGCATAAATGAACATGTCCTGCTGTGTAATGAATTGCGGGACTTCTGAAGGAAGTGGCGATTTCATTTCTTCAATTTCCAGAGGAAATATCAACTATTCCTTCCTGGAAGGAATGAATGAAACGACCTGGATGGAAAATTGATTTGAAGACAAGCACAATTTGTGAAAGCCAAGATAAATATTTCAGACTGAGCGGAGGGATAAAGAAAGACTCACTCCCTGGTTCGAATTACAACCACGTAGATCCTATCAAATGAAGCAGGAATAGCCTGCAAATTCTGAGAGAACTCCTAACATGACACTGCCTCATAAGATACCACCTGGGAGGTATGGGTCCAACAGACCGTAATTTCTGCTGTATGGAAGACAGAACGGCTGAGCACATATTATGTCAATGCTGTTGCATTGAATAACTAAATGTTCATAATATTTGGTTGGTTACACCAATTTAGAACATACCGATTACAAGAATATATCACCTCATTCAGTAATGGACTTTAGAAAGAACAGTGTCCTGTAATCTATAGTGGTCAGTCCCAATATACCTATCTAGGATCGCAGTGGGGGAGCCTTACTCACATGGAACCTAACCCATTTGTTATTGCTATGTGTGCATGGGGACAAATGTCTTCTACTATATCGAGTATTTCTGGTTTATAGCAATTCCTCAAGCTCCAGTCAAGTTTTCGTCAGTATGTTTCTCTCCTTGCTTTCTTCTATTGAGTTTTCCTTAAGAATTTACAAGGCCGCAGAATGGTTCTGGTTCTATTAGTGGCTTTGATGCCCCTCTTCGTGCAAGAATGTCTGCTTGTTCATTTTCCTCTACTCCGACGTGCCTTAACAACTAGAAGAGGATTACCTTGTTGTTCCTACCTAGATATTTGAGTTTGTCTCAGCATTCCCTAACCTAACCTGACTGGAGATAAAAAAATTATCTGGTTCGATAAAACCAACTGACCTTCAAATCCTTATGTAGCTCGCTCCCCCACGTGTTCTGTACACAATGTCTTGGCCATAATCTCTGCGTTACCGGTGGTACCCCATCAAACACGACAGTGTCGTACATCTGCACTTTCTCTGGGTTCTTGATGGGGCTCGTGTCGTGCAGTTTCCTCAAATTGACGTTATCCAAAAAGGACACGTGATCACTCGGGTGCCAGTCATAGGAGTAGAAAATTGCGTCGAATTCGATGGTGTCCAAGAGGCTGTTGATTGGTTGGAGTACCTCTTCAGCGTTCTGTTTGGCAGGGCATTTTCTGATGTCGAGGGTTCCGCAGATGAAGTCGTTTTGCACGTCTATGATGAGAATGGCAGATATTGGCCGTACAATCTGGAAAGTTCGTGAGTTCTATATTCAAATATCGGGGAATAACATCAATATGACTATTTTCCCACATTGAAATGTTAGAAGGGAAATAAATTCTGATGGACAAGAAATGAAATAACATATTCTAACGAGGAGGTAGCAAGATATGAATATACAGGGTGAGTAATGAATATCTCAAATTTGCGGCAAAACTTTGATGAGAACGATATTTTAGGAACTTTTCACTGTTACAATATGAGTTTTCTACACAGTGGCAGACTTGGGAAACTGTCTTTGTTTTGGTATTGAAAAATGTTTCCTCCTGGATCGTATTTTTCGAAAACTTTTATCAGATTCAGATAGACCAGAACAAACACTAGCTTTATTTATTGTTTTTCAATTCAAACGACCCATTTCCGCCAATTTGTTGACAAAAATATTGAAAAAGTAAATGGTGTTGTACTTTTATTTCGATCGGAATATGGCAATAAGTCAAATTGGAATTGGTCTGAATTTATTAAATTTCATTTCTAGCAAGATGGCTCATTACGAAAATTGGAAATATGATGCTTTATTTGAAATAAACTCTATTACCGAATTGCTTTTCTAGAAGATACCACATAAAATATTTAAAAAAACAATTCAGAATCAGAATCACGAAATGGTCAATGATGGTACCTAAATTATTATTGTTTTCCATTTGTATATTGTCGTTAATTTTTCCTGCCAAAAAACACTCGAACTTTATCACTTGCCAGAACAATTCTGAGGAACTGGCTGCATAAAAAAATTCAGAAAGGAGGTTGAAAAATTCCTTATTCAAAAAGCGTACTGTGACCTGCAGGAATATTACAACGAAAAGTTTTGAAGTCATGTATAATTTATTTCTATAATTTATTTCTTGATTTTTTAACTATTATGTTAGGTACCTAGTTGGCGTTTTATGTGATATAAATGTTATGCTTTTAGGGCTTTTTTGTAGTTGTTTTATACCCTTGTATGTTTTTTATTTATTAACTATATTTCATGTTCATATCTTTCATATCTTTGTACAAATAATTGGATATTGCTAGTTTCACGCTTTGTGAATAGGAATAATGTTTCTTGGACAATAAAGCTCAGTTTTGATTGATTGAATGATTGATTAACATATTGAATATTTTCCACAGGACACTTTTGGACCGTGAAAAGTGGGAGCGGAGAATAATTGTTTAACTACAGTAATGCATTATGTATCCACTCAAATGATTGGGAAGATAATCCTCTGATCCATTCGTGCCGTTAGTCCCATTATTCGTCGAGCTTCCAAACGTCAATCTCTTCACTATCAGGATAATCGAGTAGTTTGCGTTCGATAATATCCGAACAAAGCACTTCGTCTATTTTCCCACCAAGATTAATCAAAGTTAATTATTATTTGTCATGGCCCGACCTTTCGCATACTCGCTGTAATTTCCTGGAGTTTGATGGAGAATGGAGTGGTTTCTCGGAGGGAAAATTGGCTGATGTTGGGGATTGTGTTGAAATTCTAGAAGGCTAGAATCAATACGCTTTAATGCCGAAACTAATGACCCAAATACCACTTAAGTAGCGGTACAAGAAAAAAAGTGGTGTTTCCTGTACAGGGTGTTCCAAATTCGAAAAGTATAAGAGATATACGAGATCGGTTAAATGGAGGCGAAGTTGCGCAATTATTCTATGCCTAACGAAACGTCGTTGTGAAATTTGAAAAATTCCGAATACTTTCGAAGATTTTTGAAATAACCGAATATTCGCGATTTCATATTAGTTTTTTTATGAATATATGCAAAAAAAACAATTAACACATTCTCATTGCTATTCTTTCTGTTCTTTAAAATAGTTTGAGCTGCCATGATCAACTTTGTTCTTTTAAATACGACGCTGGATTTTTATTATCGCTTTTAAGAGCTTTCATTCTCCTGAAATCATCAACGGCGAATCGCACTTCGTTCGAAAAAAGGTGTTTAATCCTATTCAAAATCTAACCTCTGTCTCTTTCTAGAACATACATACTTATGAAAATTGCCAATGATCAATTTTTCGAATAAGGCGCTTTTAGATTTTAGAAGATCGAAAGTCATGGATTAAAAGAATTGCGGTAGTAGGGAGGGTCATTTCCAATCAAACTAACTGTATATCTGGTTATTCAATAATTGTTGATGGTTCAAAAGTTTCTAATTTTGTTTTCATACCTATAAAAATATTAATTCAATTGAACTGCACATGGATGCACCTTTCCCCAGGAATAATTTCATGACATGTGTTACTTACTATCAATTACCTGAGAGAAATGTTGATTTCCTTAACTTTTGTCATTGAATGAACAGAAATGAGTTTACAACAATATACCCTGAAAATTCTTCACAATAATCTTCCTACTACATATTCCTCAGACCAAAACTATTTGAGTACATAAAATGCTCAATTTGGCCGCAGAACGGATCTGAAGTTACAATTCTCAAACCGTTTTTGCTTTATAACTTTTAAACGTAGGTATCATGAGATTTCACCTAGCTTTATTTGTCAAAGAATCCATAGGTATATCCTAGGGTATATCATATTCATTATGAATATCATTCCATGGGCTGCATTGGCATAGAACTTTATTTATTCAGTAGATGAACATCTGAAACATCTACGCCAATGGAAACAAAGGATTTGAGAATGGTCAACTCATTTTCTACTAATAAGACACTTTTGAAACATTCGATTATCCCCATGGATTCCACAAAGAGTTAATAAGTTATTCCTCGAGTCATTCAGAGCAATACTAAACGTTCAATACGATCAACAGATATATCATGGTATTTTCTCAAAATGTTCACCTATTCGATGTAAGAAACTGGAATGTACTGGCAGCTATTTTTGTAGTTTTTTTTGTGAGGTGAAACTGAAAACTTTGTTTCAATATCTTATTAACGAATTAAATATTGTAAAGTTTCGAAGCTTCGGCTGGGGATGGTCCTGCACGATTCGCTGTTGCGATCCAATTAACAATGCTGCTCCTAAAGTGGCGCATGGAGTTAGTAACAAAGCCTACACAGAACACGCAGAAAGATAAGATGATGTGGTTGTGAGCATCAGAAAAGAAGTAGGACGATGTATGTAGATGGGTGTGGAAAATTACCAGCTGAGCGTGAGAGCGGGCCAATGCTGCTTAGTAGACCTCGGTCTCTAATGGGGGTTAACGAGAATAGCTAGCAGGCCTGCCACTGCAGCATATTGTAGTGAGTACATTACTAGCTTACAAAACACAGCCGAAAAACTCAGAAAGAGAGCTGATGGGCGGTGCCTGAAAATGATATTAGCCAGCTCTCTTAAGCGAACCACATCACTCATTGAAAACACCTTGGGTCTTGCAAAAAGGTCTCATTATAGGGACTAGTTGCTGACGTGCAAAAACGTCCCCCACCAGTACCAGTAACAACTGTGTACTGAGGTAAATATGTTTCGAGCATAGACACATTCACATTAATCTATGCTTCGAGGTTTGCTTGTAATTGTTTTAGGAGGAATATGTGGTAGATTTTTGTAAAGACCCTTCAAGGACACCGTGTGTACAACAAGAGAGGACAATTCTATATCATATTTCACTGACCATCCCATTTTTTTATTGTAATGAACGCAGACAATTCGACTCCAATTGGAAGACCTAATAAATTATAAATAAACAATGAAATAAAGAATTGAAGTAAATAGTATATCAATTCTGGTAGCTGGTGGCACTGTTTTTGTAAGCAATAAGAATTTATTGAGAAATTCAACATACGGTGTTCATATGTTGAAAAAGGTAGAAAGTGCAGGGTTTTCAGGGGGACCACGGCCCCTTCCCATGGCCCCTCTCTGTGGGCGCCCATGAATATGTCCAAAAAACCTTTCTGCTCAAAAAGGTGAAGGTGAAAAGTCAACCGTTCTTGAAATATTGCGAAAAAATAATGGTTATCATTTATGTGAAACACTCGTCTCTCGATAACTGAGTCGTTTCCACCTCATGTATCTATCTTAGTAGTTTTATATAAAAAATCGAAACCGGTTGATTATATTTCTGGACTAGAACATTTTCCAATTAATGAAAAGATTTTTGTGAGAATAGTTTTCCACGACTACATTCCTGTTTATATCAACCTTCAGACCGAATTATTCTGTTTTTCATGTCTCACCAGCATAAGGAAAGCCGTTTTTCCCAAACACTGCATAATCTTTGACCTTCATGTTATTGTATTCAAAAATATTCGAGCTGTGCATTGTCTCAATCTCCTTTCAAGACATTCCTGGGAAAATTAATCGCTTCTAAACATGTGAGTGGAGTAAAAGTAAATAGGTATATCTTTATCTAATATTATTTAGATGAAGAATAATTCTAAATAATGATACGTATAGGCAGGGTGAGTCAGAATAAGAACGACCGAGTCCAATCTGAGATGCCTCACTTTATTTTGAAGCAGGTAGTTTATCAAGGTGTGTCCTAAAATAGATCCTATCTGAGATACAGGATGTCAAAGGTACAAATAACTCATTGTGAACCAATGGCGTTGTTTAAGTCGTACGTGACCATATTCTGCTCAATATTCTCTTTAGACAAGTGATTGGACGAATTAGTTTTTTGCAACATTTAGGGGGTAATCGATGGTCAACCTAGAAGCCCCACATACCACATTTCTGAATTTCATTTCATTTCATTTATTCATATATAATTTCTTGGTATAATCGAACAATATAATTTTTGATATAATTACATGGTTACATACTTATTATCATGCACCTAGGTGTAGACACCTGTATGTGCATAGCATACAAGGGTGATATAATTTATTGAAAATTTTCCTATGTACATACATAAGTAATTCTAACTCAAAGAAGAATAATCATTGAGAATGATAGGTAATATGTTTTTAAATAGTTATAACCCATATTATATTTCTGCAAGATTGATGTGAAATTTAAGAAGAAATGCGCTGAAAAACATAATTAACATGAATAGTAACTCAAAAAATAAACTATTGGGATAAGTGATTATCTGATGTTAAGGTTATCCGTATATACATGATAATTATTGTATATATGAGTTCTACACATTCTAGAAAATACATGGTATTTGTGTGCATTTCTGATTTCCATAGGCAGTAAATTATAGATTCTAGGGGCTACACTTCTTGAAAATCTCATGGTGGCGTCTTTTTGACAAAAAGGGACAGATAAATAATTGTTAAACACATGTCGAGTATTATGAGAATGCGATACAAAATTCAGTGAGTCTTTGTTTTTGAATACAAATATGCAATTGCTGTGGAAATACAGCATTCTGACGTTAAGAACATTACAATTGTATAATAGAGCTGTTGGGTACAGTCGATCTTTGAAATGTATTATCTTAAGTATGTAATTTTGTATGACGTTCAACGGTTTAAGTGCATTGCTGTAGAGACCACCCCATACCAGGATTCCATAGCTTAAAATAGATTCTACTAGAGCTTTATATACCATTATCAAGAGATGCCTTGTCATGAATTTCCTTATTACATAGAACTTATATATAAGTCTTCTCAGTCTATTAGTCAGATTTGTGACATGTCTAACCCATTTGAGATTTTTATCGATGGTAATACCCAGATATTTAGCCGCCTCTGATTCATTTATCTTCAAGTTTGTGTTCCTAATATACAGATAATTGAATTCTGGTCTATTTGCATTGTTCAGGGAGAATGCAATGTATGTTGTTTTTTTAATGTTCAACGATAACTTATGGAGGTCTAACCAACTTTTCACTATCAGAGTACCTTGTTCAGCTTTCATTTTAACATGGTTCCATGAATCACCTTTGAATAGAAGGACTGTGTCATCAGCATACGATATTAGAGTGCCATCTATATTGGAAGAGAGTAATGAATTGATGTAGGTTATGAAAAGCAATGGTCCAAGTACTGTGCCTTGTGGAACACCTATGAGAACATCTACTGGATCACTGATTTGGTTTCTAATTTTCACATGTTGAGATCTATTAAATTTGTCAGGTAACTTTTGAAAACATTTAACGCGACGCCCCTCACTCCGTAATGTTCAAGAACGTTCAGAAGATTTTCATGGGGCACCGTGTCAAAAGCTTTTGCAAGGTCTAGAAATACCCCAATACATTTTTGGTTAGATTCTAAATTATGTTTTATCTGATCTATCAAATCGAACATGGCATCACTGGTGCTGGTTCCTGCCTGGAACCCATATTGCTTCTTATTTAGAATGTTCTTATCTAGTAGAAATTCACTTAACCTTTTCTTCAGGGATTTTTCAAATATATTTGCAAAAGCACTGATGAGGCTAATTGGCCTAAAGTTAGTTATACTATTCTTATCACCCGATTTGAATATTGGCACTATTATAGACTTTTTGAAGTGATCAGGAACTTTTCCATTTAAATAAATCAGATTGAAAATGTGTATTAGAGGATCTACTACGTGTAAATGATTGTCTTTCAATAGTTTGTTGTTTATGTTGTCAAAACCTGGAGAGCTGTTATTCTTCAAGGATTTAATATGCATGAATGTAATAATGATTTCGAGATTCTGACGAAAACAAGACATGATTGGCAATGACAATCTCTCACAATGTCTCACATATCGGAATATTTTGTAACCACCTGAACATTTCTGGATATTGAGGGACTCAAGAAAATCACCCAGTAGGTGTCTCAGATTGTATTCATTTTAGGACATACGTTGAAAGGAACATTCAACCTCATAGTGAAGAAGCAATGAATCACTGTATTCAGAAGCACCTGATTCGGAAGACATGATTCTTATTTTCGTGTCCTTCCTTGGCTTCCTTACCACTTTTATCCAATTATTCCAGCAATAGGTGAATTCTTCTTTGTCAATGAAATCGTCTCCATTGCTGTCGAATATTTTGAAAATGTCACGCTGTTCGTAGTCTTGCAGCTCGTAGGTTTCACCTTTGTTATTTCTGAAAAGTGCCTGACATAATATCCCAAATTCCTGTAGGTCTAGTTTTCCATCACTGAAAAATATTCTTATTAGATTGTTTCAATGCCTGAGCGATGTTAGTATCGGTGATTGATTCAGCTTTATGCGAGGCTTTATGTCAGTGTTTAAATAATGACTCCGAAAGGAAATTTTTTTTTGTTAAGAATCAGTCAGAGAACATACTCACATAAGTTATCCTAATATATGAAAGATATAGAAGCTAACAATGTGAGAAAACAAGACAATGAAAAAAGCAAATTCGCAGGGAAAATATCAAAACCTAATGCAGACTGGATTAGTTCAATGCATAGAGAAAAAAGTGGGGGCTATGTTAGTTTGCAAACGATCCGGTAGTTCTCATTCTTTTATGTTATCTAGGATGTTTATTTAGTGTGTAAAATGCAAAATGCCTAATTCCCCTTCTTTCGTCCCCGCCGCCATATTGAAAATCCGAAAAAATTCGGAACTTTCGTCAGAATTTCGCTTATATCTTCGTTTTGGTGCATTTTAGGAAAAATGTATGGGAATAAATGATAACAACGACATATTGCTTTTTTTGGCGTATGTGACTCCACATTGTATTGAAAACTTTTAATCATCCAGTTTTGACTCGAATTCGAAGTGTATTACCAATCCTACTTGAGTTTCTTCTACCCGAGTACCTACCTGGTGAAGGTGGATGTTCAATATGAAATAACCCACACAGCAGATACATTTTTTAAAGATTCATTCATTCATTCAAACAAAATCAAGATCAAAAAACAGTAATAATCATACATAGAATCGATAGTAATTGATCTGAAAACTGAAAAGATAACGAATTCACGCGAATTTTACACAACTAGGACTAGGATGCCGTAAACCTCTCTTCATTACTTGTACTCTTTTCAATTGAATACGACTGTACATACATTATACACCTAGGGACAAAAGTGGTATTTCAAATCCCGAGACAACAAGTTTATAGTCCGACCAACACGAAGGCTATACGCAGGGTATGACATGAAGTTATAGTCATGTAGTGGCAAAGCTCTAAGGTAGGATACAGAAATCGCGACACACACTGTATGGCGCTGCCATCTATAGTCACACGTACAGACCCCTACGTCTATACGCTACAGAGTGGTACTACAAGTAAACCACTCTGCTGACAGATGGCACTACCTGACATACTTGAGTGGAATTTTTCCACCACCTATTCAACTATTCAAGCGCCATACAGTGTGTGTCGCGATTTCTGTATCCTACCTTAGAGCTTTGCCACTAGATGGCTACAACATGACTATAACTTCATGTTATACCCTGCGTCTTCGAAATGGGTGATATACCCGAAGCGTAAAGTTGTCCCAGTTGTCAGCAGACCGAGAGCGGCTGATGAGACCTGGTGGGTCGAAACAGTACTGTCTCGCTCCTGCTGACAATTGGGGTAACTCTGTTCATCCTGGATCTCTTAGTTATGAGATCTAGCAGACGAAGGCCAGGGATTGTATAGTTATTTATTATACAAGGGAAAAAAGTAGTAGATTTTAGTTCGAGGTGGAGTTGTTTCCCGAAGCGTAGCGCAGGGTGACAAAAAACCATGAGCTAAAATCTCATGTTTTTCACCTGTATAATACACTATCTTCTTCTGTGACATGATAAAGGGATAAATATTGAGAAGATATTATATTGGAATATATTGTAGGCATCTTTTTGCAGACATCTTCATCATTCTTTTGGAGTAATCAAATATCTGTCTGTCTGATTCTGTGATTCTTCAATAGATGCGAATTTAGTGGTTGTTTAGTGAGTTACGTAACCGCGAAGTCGAATGGAAGATGAAAGGACTTGCAGTTCTTTCTCGGTGACGGTGATATTATTGGCTTATTTTTCGGAACTATATCACAATAAAAGCCATCAAGAGTGTATATATATGTGATATATTTCCTTATCTAGAAAAAAAAGTACCTATTTTTGTCCCGTCCCGTGGGATAAAAGTAGCTTATGAAAAGTGACATATTATAACCTGTCGACAAAGATGAAATTTCGAACATAGATAGTTTATAAATAGTTTATTGGTTCATCAGCAAGACTACGATCCTTGAACTTGTAAATATAGGTATAACGAACTGAAGTGCTACATTGCGTGACTATAATATTATGCAAGGCCTGATCCCACCGGGTGTACCACTTCCAGATTACATGCTAGATGAGGTTTCACCATTCGATGGAATACGACACCCCGTTGTCAAGGTTAATAGAATATGCTCTCAGCAAATTGTTACAAGATGTAGATGACTTCAGATTTTTTTAAATAAAATGATTTTATCTACTACCTGCATTGAAAGTTAGCGTTTGCTCCCTCATTCAAGGACACAAACCTATCAATGTCAATTATTCAAAAATTACCTTTCGTGAGAGGTAAAATAAGTTAACATCAGCTGGCTTCCTTGGTGCCTTGGTAGAAATATTCGTATACGATATGTGTTACCCAAGTACCTAATCAGTGTCTCAAATATCAAATAACAATTTCATTTTTGAACTCCGATGATCTCATACACTTTCTCATATTCCAAACTCACTCAATTGAAACTTTGAAATGAAATTACACAACAAACAAATTCAATATGACAGAAGTGTCAAATTGTTTCTCGGTCAGATTCAAATACTGTCAATTGTCAGATATACCACCTGAAGCACAATTTTAAGAACGACGCCTTCAAATATATGCGTTCGTGGATGAAATCATATATATCTTGGGAGCAAAGGTTCATGTCTTCCCATTTATGTTTCAATTTTCACACACGGGAGGAAATGGATATTTGCTCCCTTGATATATAAATAGCCATTGAAGCACTTGGTCTCTTGGTGAGTAGGTACTAGTAGGTACAAGCATAATCTATTTACATGTACTAAAATCACAATTTTGCAGCAAACGATAATCAATCATACAGAACTGGACGCAAATCTGACAAATAGCCTGTTCGAGTACCTATATAAGAATCCAAAAACTCCTATACAAAAATATTGCCCAGTAGCTCTATGGTGGTGTGAAAAATACACCTCTTCTCTATCATGAATTATTTTTGAAAAATAATTTCAATCATTCTTGTCACTGTAGAAATATTGAGTGAGACATGATAAAAGTGCACTCATTTCAGAGTTGTGAAAAATCGAGATGAAAATTCCAGGACTTATTGAATAGAGGGTGACATTAAAATAATTACATACAATTAAAAAACCTAAGATCCTCCGTACAATCACGCAGATTTCTATCATTTCAATCATCTTGAAGTGGTGTAATCGATTGTTTTCTCATTCTGATTTTTTTTTAATTTCCCAAAGATAATTCATTATAGAAGAATTTCAATGTTGGAAATCTTTGTTGGATTGTTATCATTCTGATGTGCGTACAATATTATTTTTCAATAACTCCTATCAAAATATACCGTTAACTACGCTTCTGATGGCTGTCCTATCTATATGATGCAATGAAAATAACCAAATATGCTGAACGATGAAATAATCACTAAACAAAAAGAACTGATTCATCGAATCGATAACAAAGCCATACACTTATCTATAAGTATTATAATAACGGTTTATCAATCTGTGAAATAAACTAACGCGAATGATAAAACCAGCCAACATAACAAAAAGCAGTCAGAATTCAGCCATTGAGTGATTCAAACATTGAACAGGTTTTTTTCGATTTACTATTTCTATTTACCAGTTCTTGTCAAATGCAGTAAAACACGCTTCCATAGTGCACGTGGTATCGAAATTTGCGAAATCAATGGGACCGGTGCTGCTAGACATGACGCTGCAGCTCAGTTGAAACTACGCGCCAAGCGCCAACTCGATTTTCACAAGTCGATATTATGGCGCTGTTGCCACGTCGATTGAGAATTTTGCTTCAACGGGGAACCACAGACAGGGGAGGCGTTGTTCAGTAGTTTAGTCCAACGAAGGGTATTCACTATTCACACACTCTGCTGACTGCTGTCTCTGCTTTCGAATATGTGAATAATAATGTAAAGTTTATGCAAAATCAGTTGGAACAACTCATCAAACCGCGGGCCGTCGGTCCCTTCGAACGTTCAAAGAGAGAGGCAGCGCGGCATGAAATTCCTCTGATGATCTGTTTCAACTAACTTTGCATAAACTATTCATTGCTGAATTGATCTTACAAAAACGATATACGAATCGTCAACAAAATGTTTATAAAGTTATTTTGAAAAGGTACAAGTGTAATGAACGGGTATCCTAGATAAAATGATCATGTGAAGCACTGAATTGTGTTGAACTTAGTATAGTGGAGAATAATTGTCTTGAACAAAAATAACTTATCATGCATCTACGAGGAATAATTCGAAAGAAATAACTTGGCACTATTATCACGTGAACGAAAGACGAACGAATGTTTATTTTAAATTGAGTGCAGCATTCACATCATAAACAAATGTATAGAATAAGTAAGTACACCTTCGTAAAACTAATTCACTAGTCACATAAATAAGAACGAACAGGCTAATATCACAGGACCGAACTGAGAGACAAAAATGACGTTGATAACGATTTGCAGATAATTTATAAGAGCAAGATTATATCAGCAAATTGGGAGTGACTTCAATCCGATTAGCTCGGAGGATCAATAAATTATTATTTAGTCCGAATAAGTAATGGAAAGAGCATTTCTCAATTTTTTTTTATTTTCAAAAAGTAAAAAGAGAAATAAACATTAGGGATTAACATCGAAATCTTCTCACTTATGCAAATTGAAGTCAAGGAAAATAATAAGAATCATAAATTATTGCTTCGCAAAGGGTTAATGGAGGACTATAGTGTGTGACAATTTCGTTAACATCAAAAGTATGCATTTTTTATCGTCACAACAATTCAGAACTACCACAAAATCATTTCAATTCCGAAAATTAATCCTTACATCCGTAATTCATCGCTCAAAAATATTGCCTAATAATAACACAACATGGAATTCAATTGTCCTATATTTAATTGACTCTGCCAATTTTTTTCGACAAAATTCAGTATGAAAGTAGAAAAATACGACTTCAACTTCAGTCTTAAATGTGACTCAATGCGGAACGTCTCCAGAAGACTTTGTATCTGTCTATCAAACATGCTGCGTTCGATCAGTATACCAAGTGCTACCAGTGATCTTCGTTAATTACACCTGTGTAATCAACCATTGACTACCTATCTGAACATTACAAAAGTAAATCTTTTGTGAACTGTAATATTTTGTGATATTGACGTAAAGGTGAAGTAAATCTCTCGCCAATTAAACACAAGTGAACAGTGGAGCAACAATGTTCAATTTAAAATAAAAGTAAACTCTGATTTTGTTGCTTCTTCTTTGTTATATATTCACGTGCATACAGCCCAGCAACCCTCACTCAATAAAAGTCTGACCAATTGTTAATCATTACAATTGCATAATAAACATCGACAAGTATATTCACAACTTTTTTGAGATGCAGTAGAGGATAAAAACAACTAGAATTTTTTACATACATAGATGATATTAAGATGCTGCCATTTCAAATCGATATATGTATACAAATGAGGTGAATCTGTTGTTTTTCCTCGAAGAAAACTGAATCAGCACAATCTAAGAAGTATGAATGGCACCAAAGCACTGTGCAGTGCAGCGTCAGAACATAATATATCTTATTCTTACATCGTCAACAATATAATATAATGCAAAAGGCATATAGGTAGGTAGGTAACATGTTGGGGAAAGTCATAGTTGAATATTTATAATTGTGGAGACTTCTGTCCAAAAGCTTATTGATTAGGGGATGTATAACACATAATATGTTAAAAGTGTATTCTATTCTTTTAGGAATTTCTTATACGTTTGGCAACACAAACAGCCAGCGTTATCCACAGCCTGTTACGACTAGGTAGGTATATATAAGGGGAATTCCGCAAATTAGCATAGCGTCGTCATACCGGTAGAGAATAGAAAATTAGTTAGGTAGGAATAAGTACCTAGGTAAGGCCCGGAAATACACCCAGTCACCAAATAAACCACTAGGTAGGTATCAATTTTGTAGCGACTGTTTGAATGTGTATTCTTGAACATTTCTGATTTAATTCATAATAGAACGGAATGTGATAGAATTTGACCTGGTGTAGGTATTTCCAGGACTTTTATTTTATATTCTATATTCTCCAAAAGTTAAAAAAAATCCCCTCCCTATACTTCCTAGGTACGCACGATGTTCCACGAATATTATAGAAAAAAAAAATGGTTAAAATTATCAACCAATTACCACCACTTGTGTAACATCTGATGAAAATTTTTCAAAAAATTTGCGCTCCCACCATACTATATCTTTCAACTATTACTATTATTTAACGTCTGTCAATATTGCAATAGTCATTGATACTTGATGTGCTTGTGATCTCGCAGGAAGCAAGTGCTTGGGTTATGCTATTATCCTCTTATCAATAATTTACAGAAGTTTCAGGCGAACTTCGAAGCTCAATATCTTCCAAACTATTTTTTTTTTGACAAAAATGTATTCGCCTATTTCGTTTTGTGTTTTCGTCTCCTATCATCCATTTCATTGATCGCCCCAATTTCGGAAACACCCAGTATATTCTTGAGATTTGTATTTCTTCCATCTCTTGGAGTGCACGAAAGAAAATTCCTATAATGTTCGTGGAACATCGTACTTACCTATAGGGAGGATAGGGAGAGAAGGTAAAAGTGTTGGAATTTTTTGAATTTTTGGAGGTTATAAGTTCTCGAGAATGCTTCCATTGGCAGAGAATTCCAAAGCTTCTCCGTTCTATAGAATAGACGAACAAAAGGATCCTTTTGTTAATTTTTCCTAATCTAAATATTTCTTTAGTGGATTACTGTCGGCGGTGCCGCATACATTTTTAATACAATCGATTATTGTTCAGTACTAGAATTCCCGTCGGGAGATATTTTTGTGTTCCCTCCATACTATGTCTCTACGTCATCGACTACCCAATAATTATCCATCAGGAGTTTCGAAAGGAGTTCACTATACTACGTCATTGCTTGAGTGATTTGAATTCATCGTTTGATCGATAACTCAGTGGATGGATTGGATGGAAGCAATTTCAAGCAATGTCTGGTTAAGCACGTTTGTTGGTTTATTTTTAGGATCCTTTTGTTATTTTTTCCAAATCGATCAATACATTGGGGTGATATATGATCACGTTATTTCTATCGTGATATTAGCAGTAGATATTGGAAGTTGTCAAGCTTGTGAAAGATTTCATTCATCTAGATTTTTTGTAACTTTTTTTTCTCGTTTAAACAGATGAGTATTATTTCAATATATGTTTATAAAAGACAAATTAGATGATTTGCCCCAGTATGTCACTTTCTTACTGCCTCTTTCACATTATACATCTGAACCCGAACCATATATTTGTAGAAACTAGAAGATAAAATCCCAAAAACTAGAGAAATGAATATACCACCTCGTTGATCAACACACAGAGAATGGAAGAATACCAGATTTCGAATTCATTCAAAAAATAAACACTATCCATTATCCGGCTATATCCTATATCCCGTAGAGGATGATATCTGAGTCTGGAAAAAATGAATATTCTATTGAAGAATATACGGTCCGATTGAAGACAAGTTCATTTTATGGCAATCTCATCAAACTACACTAGATCTAGTCAGAAGCAAGTTCAGTCTAATGACATACCCTCTCAGTGGTCATTGTCCTCGAGGTATCTCAAGAATTTATAACAGACAAGAAAATACAAAAATGTTGTATTGATTGATCAAATAAATGAATACCTAAAGGAGGAGTGACACTTACTTTATAACAGGAATCTCAGCTTGCTTCCAGATTATAGTGATTACTTATATATCAGTATACCTAGAGGTGGTCGTGATAACGTATTCCATTTTGGATCTTAATTTCTTTGTGTCATTTCGTAACAATCAACATTTCACGAATAGTTGCATACAAACAAAGTCTAGTGTGATCAGCAAACCAATGTTTATAATGCTAAATAATTGGGTCTTGAAAGAGCAATAATTTCCTAACCCCGTCATCCACCCAAAGATTTCGACTGACTGAGAGATCAACTCATCCCTATGTATCAAATACTTGATAACTTCGACCTTCGACGATCTCAAGAAATGGCTTCATGAAATGACTCCAAGGCATAATAATTATAAAAAATGTTGTTTCTTGAAGTATGTATTTGACAATCTCAGTAATTGGTTCATCAAATCCAAATTATCGAAAGGAAGCCTTACCATGACATCATGAATCTTTGGAAGAAGTACATGGTTTGACTCGAAAAGGAGAAAAATCCAAGGTCATCTCCACAGTTTTCATTCATTGTATTTAATCATGAGTGATGACGACAAATGCTCCAAGCAGTAAATGAGTTTGAATCATTCATTCAAATCACAATCACAACTACAATAAAACAATATATTCTTTCCCAAAATACTGGAAATGAATATCACATCATAAATATTTCTATTCACTAAATGTTACAATCCTGAGCTACTCATGTACAAAATGGTGGCACACTTTTCAGAATCGCGCCACCAAACACTCTAACGGGCGTTTTTGTCCAGTTAATCAGCACTCCCTCACCACTAAGTGGGGCACCCTTTCTCAACCCACAGTCGAAACTGAGTTCCACCAGAAGAAGACCGAGTGGTCTTTTAATGTCATCGATTTCATGAATTTTCCGGGATGGTTCAGATTTCAGAATTTGACGATTACCAATTCGACTAGATGGTAGGTATTCCATTGGAGGCACTGGTCCAGATGATCTTGAAATGGGATGGTTGTGGAACCCTGGTTTGGGGTGGTACACCACTCTTACTCTGGTAGGTTCGTCACTGATAAATCCAAAGGCACTTCTGAATATCTCTAGAAGCCCTTTGGGATTCCTTACAGGTTCCGTATTGAAGTAGCTGAGCACGTCTGGTACTTCGAGTGACTTTGAATTCGAATCTGTATCGATACTCGCAGCAGTGTGTTCGTCATCATTTTTGGTATTATCTAGAGTTACATTTTGTCGTTCTTTTGGTGAGGTGTAGTCTCCTAGAATCATCTCCTTGTAGGATTGTGGTTTTTTCGATAGCTGGTAGCTTCTTCTCAAGAAATTGTTGGTTAGTGCTTTTAAAGAGTAGGAGGTGGACGCTAGCACGAAGTTGAAGCCGAAAACATCACCCTCAATGCCATCTTCTAGGCCTTTATCGAAGTCTGTGTATTCTTGGCCCACTACTATATCCCCTTCGCCTTCGATTATGAGTCCTCTCAACTGAAAATGAGAATTATAATCACATCAGATTATCAGATCTAAACGGTTCGTGACTTTGATGAAATGATGCAAGAAGAATCATATGACATAGCATCGCAAACTCCTGTAAATGTCAATGAATTAGAGAAATTTGAAAAATTCTAGAATGAATAATGAGCGAGCTTGAGCTCAGTGAGTATGCGTTTGGTCCATACAGGATGTTTGAAGGTTACAGGGTGTGAAAAAAGTTGAAAACACATAATACTTAAGGGATGAAGGGTTCCTCTTAACGTCAAACCTATACGGCAAAACATATTTTTGTGGTTGGTTTTCATCCTAATTGGCAAATCTGTATGCTCTGTTCTCAATTTCTGCTAGCATTTTATTTCATTCTATTTCGTCCTTTATAAAATGTATACTACATAGGAGATCCAAGTAATTGTAGTAAGAAGAACATTTTAATATTTTTCTAAATGGAATGTGTTATTGTTCAATGAATTCTTACTTTTAGAAGTACATGATAATAACAGAATTCTTTTGACTAAACAGTCTGTAAGTAATGATAACTGACTGACTGTTGAAGACTGTTTAGTTCAAGAGTGCTCTGCTAGAGATTTTAGAATAATTATGTTTCACGAATTACGATACTTTTGTGCAATAATAATTATTGTATAGCTACGTTCACACAGTCAAGAAACGTTGAGCCGCGGCTCTTTTGGTAACTAAAATTCAACGATATCATTTTTAATGATTGCGTTGAATGTATATGAGGTATATTGAATATGTATATAATCTAGCTCGAAATTGGGCTGTGGGAATAATGAAAATGATATGCTTCGATACAACCTCGTTAAGATTATATTATTGCTTCCTGTCAGTATGGCTGAATTCCATCAATATTAATTATTGGCCCAATAATTTTGAATTCATTAGCGGTTACAGATCGAATCAAACACTAGACTACGGCTGGCTTGAAAATGGTATGTATAGTTTTGCCACATCTTCCGGCAAACATAAATATTTATATCGCGTAGAGGAGTGATACTTTCAAATGTTGACTCAACTTCATGTTAATTAGTCCACTAATTCATATGTACAGGATGTCATCAAAATTTGGAACTGACGTTTTTTCTCCGGGCCACCATAATCAATTTATTGATTGTTTCAAACGCTTTTTATTCCATTTTACAATATTCTTTCATGGAATAGGATATTCCATGAAGCTTATTCTCACCTCGCTCCGCTAAAAGGACGTTTCACTTCTTACATAATATACCATTACATACGAAAAGGCATTTTCACAGATATACGAAGAGCAGAAGAGGATAACTTTGTATGTTGATTTATTACCATCAGATTGAAAGGAACAGTCGCGTATACAGCTGTGTTCTAAAGGGGGGTATATTCGTGTTGCGGAGGGTGACATGAACCAAAAAAGCGCCGCAGACCAAATGTTTTGTTGTTCAAGGTCAAATGCCTTTAAATGAAAAGATATATTTGTCAGCGGAGTTTCATAGAGGTGGAAAGAAATGATTCCAAATTCAGTTGGAAATTTGAGAGAGGCAACAAAAATCGAATTATGTGAATGTCAATGAATGAAAATTTGTAGTAGTAGTATAGTAGTAATATACGTAATTTGTTGGTTTGCATGTACATGGCAACTGGCCATCGACCTCCTTCAACCCATTAGTGTTCTGTGTAGGCTTTGTAATTAACTCCATACGCCACCTTAGAAACGACACTGTTAATTGAAACGCAACGGCGAATCGTGCGGAATCACAAAAATATTATAATTAATATGCCACACAATGGGCCGACGTTTGACCATGGTCAGCAATCTGCCTATCTATCATGTACTGGGCCAGAAGGCTGATTGCTGGGAAGTTTGAGAAAACATAACGCATAAACACCATGGAACAAGGGCAAACTTTTTTCGCTACCATATATAATGACTAAATCACACGAACTCAAGAGATTTTTATGTACATAAATTAAAGTGTCGTAATGCAAAACGTACTTGCATGCTGCAGTTTTGGCATTTTACAGTTTTTCGGAAGGAATAGGTTGGATACTCCTTACGTGTTTATTGAAACAAGATGCATTTTGTGAATCTTAATGTTAATTTTGATTGTTACACTGAATTTTCTTCGATCGTCTTCGGAATCACGATATCCTACATAGGACTTGATATTGTCGCAAATCTTTTAGTGAAATAGAACTATAGTAGCGAAGGGTAAAAACCTGTTCCTTGAAATTTCAACTGGATTTTCCAATGTGATTCTAGACCTAAATTAATAAAAAATCACCTCTGGTTGATATCCATTGGATCTCAATTTGCCGTTGAGATAAAGGTTCCAAGATGCTTGAGACGACGACCAAGATTGACAGATGTGGTACCAATGATTCTCTACTATATCGACAGGTACTTCGAAAACTGGATGTCCTAGTATTTCCAAGTTGACACTTTCGCCGAACGGGCTTATCCAAACTCTGATAAGTCGTTCTTTTTCATGTTCTGAAAAATTAGAATAGGATGTTGAAGAATGATTATTTCCCTAGTAGTATTAGAGTTCCATCGTATGCGTCCATTTTTCTTTCAGGAAACTTGTTTTGGAATCAATTTCTGTTGATCATTATTGTCGTTTTTCTGAATTGTTAATATTTACCTATGGTGGTGAAAGCATGAAAGCAATGTGTTTTAATGAATGTGTAAGATTTGAAATCATATTAGGTGAACGATTTGCAATGATTATTTGTGGTCACAAACTCGAGTATGGAACAATAAGGAAATATGTGATAATTGTAAATATATAGTTTTTACTACTTTTAATTATTTTATATGAATGTATACCTTCACCAATTTGAAATATTGGTGAAGGAAATTGGTTGGGTCGGACATTTCAAAGAACACACATCATCAGTCATATTTTATATTCATCTCCTATCTAATCTTGGTCAACAATTACTTTCATGAGACTTGTTGTAGAAATTTCAACCTCCAGAAGGAGAAAAAAAAAATTCAAACACCTATTTTTGTTGGTGCGCTCTTAGAGATATGTGACCTTTAATTTTGACAATCGAATCCTGGATAGGAATCCTGTCAATATTACTTCATTTGAAAAACAACATTTTTCACTGGTTTTTGAAGTCATGTGTTTGAAAATTGCAAAACTTGAAAACTGATATGTGATATTAGAGAGAATATTGATTCTGTTGATATACTTACTCGAATATGAAAAGATTGGATGGCTGTATGTCAAATTACTACTTCTAATCCATATACAGAATGTATAATCAGTTAGAGGTGGAACAGTTTCGATATATTTGAGGAACTGGAAGAAAAATATATCATAAAGAAAAGTTCAGTTTTTCAACCTACGTCCAAAAACTGATTTGGAAATCGAATACATTAATCTTCAATAAAACCATTAATGACATCCTCACCTGAATATATCCTTTTTGTGTCAGTGACACTTTATTGATCGTACTTTCCACTATAGAATTTCTATACGTGTTCACAATATTTCTCGCATTGTTTCTGATTATAGATTCAGCACTGTTGAGGAACCAAACAAATGAGAGGAAAATTAACAGCTTTTGTACCATGATCAACTGAAAAAAGATTTTATTTTTCTCATATCTCTATCATAGTCGTGTTGAGAGAAGTGGAACTATATACAGGGTAACTTTTGAGATACAGGGTGTAAATGTCGAAAATATGCATAGATTCTTTTTTTGTCCACTCTGAATCTTTTAGTGATGGCAAAATTCAGTCTGCTATGTGACTGAATCGGTATGGAAATTTCAAAATGTTGAATACTGTGGTTATCCAGTGATGACATCAAAATTTGAAGTCTGCATGGTCTCGTTTCGACGAACTACTCGGGATTCTTACTGAGAACGGAGTAACTTGCTTTGGATATGCGGACGACATAGTCATCATGGCCAAAGGCAAATTTGAAGGGACCCTCTGCGACCTCATAGAGAGAGAGCTAGAGACTACCAGAAGATGGTGCCATTCGGTGGGGTTGAGAATTAACTCAACGAAAACCACACTGGTACCTTTTACTAGAAGAACGGAGGTTCAGCACTTAAGGGTCGTCCGTCTAAACGGAGAAGACCTAGAATGGCAGCAAGAAGTGGAGTATCTAGGGCTCATCCTTGACTCAAAGCTTCTCTGGAATAGACACGTAGAAAAGATCGCCAGCAAGGCAAAATCATCACTGATGGTGTGCAGGAACCTTGCAGGCAAAACGTGGGGGTGTAACCCATCAATACTGCGATGGATGTACACCATGCTAGTGAGACCAATGATCACCTACGGAGCAGTAGTTTGGACGGCAGAACCGAACTCTCCACAGCAAGAGAAATGTTAGAGAATGTGCAGAGACTAGCATGTCTTTGCATAACAGGAGCAATGAGATCAGCTTCAACAGCAGCACTAGAGGTCATTTTGGATCTCACACCTCTACACATCGTGGTGAGGAAAACTGCCTATGGAGCACATCTCAGGTTAGCCAAGGTCGGACTAAGAGGGAAAACGCACAGTGTAAGGGGCTCACCACCCACTGAGATCGCACACCTCGCCGATCTTCCAACAGATCAAATCATTAGAAAGTTCAGTTTTGAGAAGAACTTCCGAGTGGAGCTGAGCAACAAGCGCGAATGGAGCACAGAATCCATCGAATCACTGGGAAGGAACACCATTACTTGGTATACGGACGGGTCTAAAACACCCGAGGGAACTGGAGCAGGAGTCTTTGGGCCTCGCACCAAATAGTTTGAATCCATGGGACAATTCCCCAGCATTTTTCAAGCGGAAATACACGCCATAGAAAGATGCATCCAGTTCAACCTAGACAGGAAATACCGGAAGAAGGACATCGCGATTTTATCAGATAGCCAAGCAGCCATCAAAGCGTTGAGCTCTCCCTACATCAACTCGAAGATGCCTAAGCAAATTGAATGAGCTAGGCAGCAACAATAAAGTTATCCTCCTCTGGGTGCCAGGGCACATCGGAGTGGAGGGGAATGAACAAGCAGACGCTCTGGCACGACAAGGGGCTTCAACGCCACTGATCGGACCAGAGCCATTCTGCGGCCTTGGAAATTCCTATTTCCAAGGAGAACTTGAGAAGACGGAAGGAGCCTGGAGAGCCAGACAATGGAGAAGACTTCCAGGACTACGGCAGGCTAAAGATCTCCTTGGAAATTTCAACCGAGAAAGATCTAAGACACTGACAAACCTCAGCAAAGGAAGTCTCAAAGCAATAACGGGATTTCTAACGGGGCATTGCAGACTCAAAGAACACCTGAGGAAGCTAGGCTTACAGGAGGACGGCACCTGTAGACTCTGTGAGGAAGAACCAGAAACACCCTATCACATACTGATGGAGTGTGACGCTGTACATCACAAAAGATTGAACATACTGGGAACACACCAGCTGACTGTGGAAGAAATACCACAGCTAGACCCCCTCAAAATCCTCAAATTCCTGAAGGAATTGAATCTCGAGGGGCTGCTATGAACAGGAAACCCTTGATATAGCAGGAGCAGATGGGGCACAATAGATCTAATTAGGTCGCAGCGCATCTGTCACCATCCAACCTACCAATACCAATACCAATACCAATGGTCTCGTTTTTCCGTTTTTTTCTCTGAAACGAAGCGTTCTATCGAGTATCAACAGGAGGATCTTTTTTGTTCATTGTTGAATAGCCTCTCACAGTATTGTATAAAATTCAAAAATTTTCCGTCGTTACTCACTTTTAAGTAAAATATAAACAATAAATTTCCGTAACGGTGCCACTGGTAGAAAAAATGGAAATTTGTGTATGTACATCATAAAACGCACCTTGATGCATAATGTACCAAATTTCATGAAAATGTATGCAATATTGTCTTTGTTATTATCAAGAAACTGAATATTTTTCCAAACTTCATTACCCTGTATCTCAAAAGTTAAGACTTTCAGGACATTCGTTCATATATGAAGTTTTCTTTATGAAATGAGTCATATATAGAATCACCCCCTCGCACATTAGCATGTCTTCAAGAAACACCCTGTATAGACAACTGTGAATGAATTCAGATTTCACATAGATACAAGATTTCAGAGGGCACATACAAAATAATATGATGGTGATTCTGGAAGTTGACAGTTTCCGAAAATCATAATGTTTCGAATTTTGAGAGGTTTTTTAATGTAAGAAATCGTGATCCGGTTAGAGTGTGAAAAAGAGGTACAAGTTTCATTATTCAATAGTACTATAGTTCTCTGTACCTACAGACCTTTAACGTATGAGAGACACCTTGTATACAAGATATCTCAAAATGTTGATGAGAATATCAATCAAGATCGATCCATTTGCATATCCTGCCTCTATTAGTTTCTTCATACTTGTGTAGCATTCAAGATACTTGACCTTGGCCATGACTTCACATGAAAAGACTCAGAATGCATGGGCATGATATGAGTAGAAGCTCATTGAGAAATAGGATAGGTAAATGAAGATGATTTTCAGTGGAAAATGAGTTATTGCATTTTCTTGGGTTGTGAAAATCTAGGAAGTTGACCGCATCTTGCAAAATTAGAAATCCAATTGACCCATATTCGAAAACGTATAGAATTGGAGAGGACACAGTCTAATACTCCTCAGAATTTAATATTCATGTATAAGTATTCGCCATATAACCTTCGGCAATTACATAAAATCGAATAATAGTCATTACAAATTGTTCATTAAAAACCAATGATTGTATTCATAATTAATTGGCAGTTATGAGTTATACTTATTATTGTCTGTCGTAACCTATCTATATCTTCTTGATCTTTTCCAGGAACTTCTGATTATTTACCGAACAAAGGTATATTATGTTTGATATAAATTTGCTATTTTGCACGATTAAAACGAGATCCATTTTTTGTCGAAGTTAACCACACAAACCGGGTTAACAATAAGTTGACCAGTCAATTTCCTTCGAACTGTAGATTTCCCAAACTATGACGTAATAGTTAACCGAGTAGTTAACCAACCACAAAAACCACCTCACTGAGGTAGTTCATGATGGAGTTCTGATTGGTCACTGAATTGGGCTTTTGATGTGTCTCATTTTCGTTGTTGTTGTTGTTATAATCCCAGGTTTTGTCTGTGGATTTAAAATACCACTTCATTCCCTTGGTGTATGATGTACTATTATATGGTTATATATGGAATAATACTACACTATTTATAGCATAGTGAGCAATTATTGAACATGATGGACCAATGGACACTCGAATATATTATGATTTCAATATATGACGTTTTAATTCAATGTATTGCTATCGGAATACTATCGCGTCTTCACAGAAACCCATCATGTCTAATAGCATGAATAATAATTAGAAGAGATGGGAACAAACTGAGTCGATCATTCCATTTGGTTTTCGAAATTTAGAATATGAAATTCTATATGATATCCCTTATTTGCAATTCAAAAAGGATATAAATCCTCAAGAACAACAATCGATTCCAAATAATAGAACATATAAAATCAACTAAAGTTCCTATAAAAAACATACCGAATCCATATCTCGATCGATATACCCAATAAACTCACCTAATTGATTTAAAGAATACCGGCAACACATCATTAACTATCACAAAATCACTATGATCTGACGATCAGCTATATCTCATTTGAGCGTAACACAACATTCTGCAGAATTAAAGACCATGTATGTATAGGGACCTGCCGCGCACGAATAAAATAAATATACAGATTGGGCACGCTTCTCGTCTTACTGCTGATTGAAGTCTCTTCCTGCAACCTCCGGAAGGTTACGTCTTATACACGGCCGCAAGCAAAGAGCTGCTCGGACAGTCGGACTGCGGAGTTGCCAACTCTGCAGAATCACTACTGAACTTCAATTAAATTTGACAGCAATATCCAACATATAAGCTTGTGCAATGTTTCATTGTAGAATTATTTATACAGGGTGCCCCAGGACGATTAAGACATCAGGAAATATCTGGGAACTCGAGAGTCGTAGAACATTATTATCTTGGAGTCGTCAACTTAAGCAATTGATGCAGCTTATTCTGATATTTTTTCACTCAATGAGCTTTTTGTTCTCGGCCACGTTACATCAGATTCAGAATGATAATTGGAACAACTTGAATAAATTGGCAATAATTTGTTCCTCCCGATGAAACGATTATCACAAACTATCACAGTTGTGGTCTATAATGAATAATTTAAGATTAAGACATCAGGAAATATCTGGGAACTCGAGAGTCGTAGAAAATTCTTATTTTGGAGTCGTCAACTTACGCAATTGATGCAGCTTATTCCGATATTTTTTCACTCAATGAGCTTTTCGTTCTCGGCCACGTTACTTCAGATTCAGAATGATAATTTGAACTCGGAACAACGTGAATAAATTGGCATTAATTTGTTCCTCTCGATGAAACGATTATCACAAACTATCACAGTTGTGGTCTATAATGATTAATTTAAGAACTACAGGTACTTCTCCCGACGAATACGACAAACGTATGAAACGGGTCAGCCTTTATATTTGGACAGTCCTATATTTTTTGTGATTATCAAAACAATAATCATTCATTTTTTATTGAAAATAGTAATCTTAGACCAGAAGTGTGATTCAGGTTGTCGGAACGAAAATAGTAATGCCAAAATATAGATACAAGTTGTCCCATCAATAATTTTGAATCTGGTATCATGTGACCCAAAACGGGAAGCTAATATACCATCCCAAAATCCAACTTTTTTGTACTTCTTTAGATCCGAGATATTTCTTGTGTCCTTATCGTCGTAGGGTGTTAAGATGATTTTGTGTTCAGTATGCCATATTGGACCAGTTCAGTTTATTATTTATTGTAAACCCTAAGATGGTATGTTCAATATATATGATATACACCGTGTTCAAGATAGAGATCTATATCGTGGGAATTGCTGAAACCATAAGAGATACGAAGTTGGTCAAGAAAAACTGTGCATTTTCAAGCCTAACAATATGCCGTTTGGAAAGTTCAATAATTCTTAATATTTTCAGAGATATTTGTCTATAAAAACTGAAAGTACCGAAATCTGCCGATAACGTTTTAATTTTTTTTTCTGACGCTACAACGTGTAATACAGTTCAAAATGAGTGGATTCGACCCAATTTATTTATATAAAACAATGTACTGTTTGTCCGTTAGACGAATTCAAAGTTTACTGATTGATCATTGTCATTTTGTTATACTCCTGTGAAAATTTCGTAGTCCATATAGATCCGAAGGGAAAAAAATGATTTCTTGATATCAGATATTCCTAGTGAAAGATTTATATCATTATTATAAAAAAAATAGTTGACAGTGAAAACAAAGGCAGATCGTTTCTTCTTATTATTAATGTTCAATAACAATTCCTTTCAGTTTCCACTGCCAACTAATTTTGTTACTGTTAGCATCATTTCAGGAAACATGTTTTCCCTGCGGAACTATGAGAAATGCGAAGTTCCCACAAGGGTAAAAAAATTATGACGATAATTAATTAGTCATGCCGCTCAGAATTGAATTTGAGAACACTATTATTACCTCTGAGAATGTCCTGATTAAAATTCAGAGGGGTTAGGGTGGTTCCAACCCTTCTACAATTTTTTTCGGGTTTCTTTGATCACTGAAAGAAAAGTTATCCTCTGAAATGCACTCCTTTTCCAATTTCATTCAATTTGTTTCACATTGAAACAGCGTATTTGAATAAATTGAGCCCAATCAAATTATTTTGGAACATTCTGTATCGAAAAACATTAGAACTTTCTCATTGCCACTTTTAGAGCTCTACATCAGAACATCAGCGTTGAGAAATTTTCAGTATGATGTTTCGTTCCGGAGAAACTATTTCCGAGATTTTCATGACAGACATCCTCATCTTGGACACACGGTATAGCATCTGTTAGCATCTCAGTGAATTATAGTTTTCGAATGTGATATTTTGCTATAGAATTGACGTTTTAAAAAAAGTGTGGTCGACCGAAATTGTTCTGTTATTACAACAACAAAGGGCCATTCACCTAACTGATTTTGAAGAGAACATTCTTATGCCGTCAACTTCGAGATGTGTCGAACGACTCTTTATCAAAACTCGTATTCCCAAGAACTCATAATCTTCAAATGTTGAAGAAAAATTCCAATAGTTACCTACCTACCTTCTCGTCTCATTCCGCCTAGGTACGCACGAAGTTCCTCGAACATGATAGGGATTCCCTTTCGTGCTTTCCAAAATCAGCTCGATCAATTGAACTCGCAACACACAGTGGATTATATCTTTATTACGTATACCATACTCTAATTTCTGGATCAGGTTTTGAATTAATTTAATTTTCAGTACGTCTCCTATCGTGACTGACAACTTTTATGGGGTGAAAGGAGCGAAGAAAATCGTATAATATGAATTACATAAATTCAGACGCCCCATTCCAAGATTGATATGCTTGAGAAACATTTCGTGACTTTATTTACTCGTATAACTTTGCTCATGTACCTATCCAATATCTACAAAAAGTAATCACGATGGTGATTCCAAACTAGTTTTTTATGCTCACCAAACATCCCGACTGGTGATAATTGCATTCGGAAGTATTTTTCTCTCCTAGTAAAGTCAGGCCACTTTCATATTTAATGTAGTTGACCCCGTTGCATGTTCTCATAATATGTGATTTGAACTGAACATATGCCAAGCGAGTGTATGTTTCATGAAATGAGGTGCATAATGTCAAAGGCGGCGTTTGCCTTTTTTAGAGAAAATTTACTGTCAAGGTTCGTAAAGAATTGAAGATCATTTGCAGATGAGATGGAGAGATGGTAATTTGTGACTTGATTCCATCGACATAGATTACATACAGTGTGGAGACATCAACTGGAATAAATTCGTTAGTGGGAAGGTGAATATTTTTTCTGGAGTTTTTTGGCATACGTCAAAGATTAATAGTAGATTGTTTTATTAGGATCAAAAGTGACACTTTGTTTGACAAGCGAATTTTGCATTTGCAAGGCGGAGCGTTTAGCGAAGCCGAGCGAAAGCAAAATTTGCGAGTCGAACGAAGTCACTTTTGATCCGAATGAAACATGCTATTTTTTCTGCAACCGAAAAGAATTAACTCAAATAAACATGTGAAGTAACCACCAATGCCGTGCCATATGTATGCAATGCAACAAATATTGACAAATAATCCATGTGGTGAGAATATTCTACCTGCATTAACAGCAGGTTAGGTTTTCTGGGATTTCAATATGAATACAACCACAGAGTGACATATTTGTATATGGAACAGGTGCTAATGGCAAATACCGCGCCAGTGCCAGCTATAGGAACAAGACGTGGAAAATGTTAGGTTAGTGAGCATATCAACAATGATAATAGTGATTATTTATTCCTCTCCATACTGGCATACTACACTGTGTTTTGACTTGATAATCAAATGAAGCTAAACAATATCGTTGTTTGAGACAAAAAAACTATTGCTTGCCGTGATTATTCAAAAACAAGTTATCCATCCCGAGAATAACGAATGAAATACAGATCACGCAAGTATTTGAATCTTGAAGGCTCCCCTGATCAAAACAAAAATACTCAACTGAGATGTTTATAATCAAAATACTAAACTATAATAAGGTGTATTTATATCTTCAGCATGGGTATGAAATGCCAAATCTGCTGAAATCGGAAACGAATCAGGTATGCGTCTCAACCCAAATAACCAACCGTCACAATGTTGTTTATTCTTGATGACGTCCAGTAGATCCTTTTTAGTTCCTAGGAGCTAAAGTTCAACTTTAGCTCCTAGGAACTAAAATTCAACTTTAGCTCCTAGGAACTAAATATGTTGCCTAGCAACATATCTATTTTTGTGTCAGTAATAGAAACGTCAATTTAAGAGCTAATTTTGGTATCAAAATGGACGACTTTTGTGTCGGTTGCAGAAAAATGTATTCACCTACCTTCTGCCAGTAATAAGAGAATCAATCCCTGCACGGGTAGTTGAAACCACCCCCAACATTATTTTTTTAATTGCCACCATATGGTTTGTGACCATTTATTGAAAATCGGGTGGAAAGAGGAGTCCAGCATACTAGTCAAATTCAAGTTTTTCATGCGTTTAGAGGTTGAATGAAATTGAAATGTAATTTTGAAATCAATGATTTTTCTCAACGTATCAATCGTTCAAAATGTGTGTGAACAATTGGTGGAATTTTTTTGCTACAACTGCTATTTGCTATTGTATTTCAGTGCTCTCATAGAGCTGCAAAAATAAATTTAGTTTTTTTGCTGTATTCATATTTTGAATCGGAGTGTTATTGCATACTGGTGAAAATGCCCAATATCACTATCACTAAAAGTCGAAATTTTTATGAAAATACTTTAAAAATAGATATATCAAATTTCGTACGTATATTTTTATTTTATGTGACACCCAAACGTACTGCATACTGAAATATGATCAGTACGTTGAATTCCTGTTTCAACCAGATTTTCAATGAGTGGTCGCAAGCCATAGGGTTGCATTTGAGAAAAAAACATGTTGGGGTAGATTTATGTTACCTATGAACGGTTATATTCTCCTTATTGCTCGCGAAATGTAGGTAATAGTATATTATGTAACAAGTGTTATAAACGTTCTTTTAGTAACGAGTATTTTAAGCACGAGCGGAGCAGAGCGGACCGAGTGTTTAATAAACGAGTATCTAGAAGAGTTTATAAACGCGTTACGTCCAAAGATGGATGCTTCATTTTCACACTTCTAGGAGTTATGCAAG